CAGTACATAGATCAACAGCAACAGAAGCAAGTGCAGCAACAGCGGCACACTGCAGCAGTAGCAGCACCTACAGCAATGACAACAGCACATACAGCAGCAGCAGCAGCAGCAACAGCAGCAACAGCAGCAGCAGCAGCAATATAAATAAGAGTATATCTTACACAGTATTAGATAATACAACATTTATTCGTCCCTTTAATGGTCGTAACTTTATCGGCAAAGAATCATAAGTCTTACGACCCATTATTAATGCATTTCTTCTTATTAAGGGGCCCCCCAAATGGGGGCCCCCCAAATGGGGGCCCCCCAAATGGGGGCCCCCTAAATGTGATCCCCCTAAATGGGGGCCCCCTAAATGTGAGCCCCCCTGTGAGCCACTCCCATATATAGGGCTTCCCACCTGTGGGCACCCCCCCCCAGATGGGACCCCTAGGTGGGGGCCCCCTTGGGGGCCCCCACCTAGGGTTCCCATATGGGGGCCCCCACCTTGGGGGCCCCCTATATTGGTAATATGATAGATAAAAGAGGTAAGATATTTGAAATGACGTACGTCTTGAGGTATAGATGGCCAAGGTAATTGATTATTAATACCAATTCCTTTATTATTCGTCATAGCAACAACTATAGATATAGGGAAAGGGAGAGAAAGTTTAGATATTATATCTTTATCTTTTAATAATAATTCAGGATCATATGATAAAGATCCTGCTGCTGTTGCTGCTGCTTTTGCTGCTGTTGCTGCTGATGCTGATGATGATGCTGCTGTAGATGAGGAGGAAGATGAGGCTCGTGATGGATCCATTGGTGCTGCTGGTGATGTTGCTGTTGGTGCTGCTGCTGTTGGTGTTGCTTCCGTAGATGAAGAAGAAGAAGAAGAAGCTGCTGCTGCTGCTGCTGTTGTTGCTGCTGCTGCAGTGTTGCTGCCCTTCATACTATCAATAGGTTGTGTTGCTGAGGAAAATGGTGGTGGTTGTTGTTGTTGTTGATGTTGTGTTGCTGCTGCTGCTGATATTGTTCTTAGGTGATCTTCTGTCTTTGCTGCTGTTTGCTGCTTTTGCTGCTGCTCTGCTGCAGCAGCAGCATTAACTGCAGCAGGAGCGATTGGCATTGCAGCAGAAGTTCTTCCTTATAACTAGGTAGTAGATAAGGGGGGTTGTTGGGGGGTAAAGAAAAGGGGGTAAATAATGGCTTTATTTGTTGATTATACACTTAAATAAAGGAATTTAATTAAATAAAACAATAAAAATAAACAGAATTTTCTCTTTTTAATGATAAAAGAAGCAAAAAGACAACAAAATCGTCTTCCTCCTCCTTCATGGTGGTGGAGAGTTTTCTTCTTCACCGAGGTGCCTATACACCGCTAAGTGTATTATACGTATTCAATTTGCTGCAATTCTTCTTCTTCCCCTTTAAATCAATTAATTTGTTTGTTTATTTATTATATTTTTATTTATATTTATTATTTTATTCCTTATTTATTTAAATATATAATTGATTTATACAATCAGCTCTTTAACCACCGCACAGACACCGCAGCCGCCAGTAACACCGTTAACACCACCAAACAAAAAAAGGTGATTTTTATGTTAAAATATCCATAAATTTAATCATAAATTAATATTTATTTATTTGTTTATTTATTTATTAATATTTATTTGTTTGTTGCGGTGTATTGACTACTCAATACTATACGCAATTATCTACCTACCGTCACTGCTAAATGTTGCTCTCCATGCAGTACAACAACACATTTATCTTCACAGTCTTACGGTGCAGCAGCAGCAGCAGCAGCAGAGAGCAGCAGCACAAAGCAGCAGCCGTACCAACAGAAGCATCAAGCATAAGAAGCCCAGAGCTGCACCAACAGCTGACAGCGATAGCAGCAAATAGCATTGGCGAGCACGAGCAGCAGCAGCAGCAGGCTGGGCCACACACCAGCTGCAGCAGCAGACAGCAGCAATAACGGGGAGACGCAACAGCAGCAGATTGCCTGAGCCGACAGGATCAGCAGCAAACAGTATGATCCTGCAGCAGCAAGCAGTAGCGGTTACGGACAGCAGCAGCAGCAGATTGTTGCAGCCGACAGCATTAGCAGCAGCAAACAGCAGCAGGAGACTCCAGCCGCATGCAGCAATAGCAGCAGCAACAACCAGTAGCAGCAGTCTGCTGCAGCAGCAGCAGCACATAGCAGCAGCAAGATATAGCAGATACACGAATAATCTAATTGTGTATTTCTTCTGTTTTGCCGCAGCTATTCCTGCATTATAACATTTGTATATTGCTGCAGAGGAGTGCAGCAGCAGCAGCAGCAGCAGCAGCAAAATGGTATTTCTTTGCTGCCTGTGGTGTAGATAGATGTACACCTGAAGGATATTCTGTACTGTTGTTAGGAGCATAAGGAAATAAATATAAATTATAATTATAATCATATATAATTATCAGCAATATAACCTTATCAGGGGTGCTCTACCGCATATATATATATATATATATATATATA